GTGTGCTGCAAGTTTCAGTGCTGTAAAGTGGCAGTATAGACAGTGCACCCAATGCTGGTAACTACTACCTTCGTGGGGGGTGTTTTTTATTACTCCAGTGTCTAAGGGCTAGTCTACACTAGAATCACTACAGCGGTGCAGCTGTAGCACTGCTAGTGCAGATGCACTATGCCAGTGGGAGTCAGCTCTCCCATTGACATAATTACTCAGTCTCCCCAAGAGGTGGTAGGTATATCGGCAGGAGAGCTTCTCCCACCAACATAGCATAGTCCACACTGGCGCTTAGGTCAGTGTAACTTATGTCACTCCGGGGCCGGGGGTGGCGTTTCCACAACCCTGAAGAACTTAAGTTATACCGAAGTAAGCGCTAGTGTGTACAAACCCTAACGAAGTTATGAATTTCAGCTCCCAGGCTCTTCTTTTGAAGGTGTTGTGCAGGTTTTCTTTGAAAATGAGAACTGAGAGGACAGATACGGAGTGAATGTTTTGTGAAAAGTGCTCACCCACTGGTGATAGGGTGTGTTTTTTTGTCTTTTATTATTTTTCTGTGAGTTCATTCAAGAGTGTAATAATTGTCTGGTTGTTATTGGGGCATTTAGTGCACTGGATAAGGTATACCACAGGTTGATAAGTATGTGTAGGACCCATGGATCTTGAAAGATACATTATGGGAGGTATTGAATTTCATAGCAATGTAGATATGTGTTCGTGTTTTACATCCGTTATGGTAGGGTCTGGTGCCGTTTTGAGTTGGTGTGTCCTGGTATGTGGGGAGCTTGCTTCTTATGATGAGCTTGGCAAGGTTGGGGGGGATTATTTGAAGGCCAAAAGAGTGGGTTCAGGAAAGATTTCTTTCAGGATGTCCAATAAAAGATATTACCTCACCTACCTTGTCGCTGTAATATCCTGGGACTAACATTGCTACAACAATACTGTAAAACCACGTTAGATTAATGCATTTCCACCCCACTAATACTGAAGACTAAGGGTCAGATTCTACAAGTTGCTGAGCAGTCTGGTCTTGATATTGCAAAGCACTTATGTACAAGTCTAACTTTAATTACGAGTTGTCCCATTGAT